ACCATGCATAACTTCCTATTACACATGGCATATTTGTGCAGTAGTGGCATCATAACATTTCCCATGCATGACTCTGTGGTGTACATCTTTTGCTCTGTCTCTCTCATAACCTCTTTTCATTTACCTAACCCTGCAGAACAACCATTTTCCATCCTCCTGACCCTGACTCCAACCCCGAGCAATAATAACCCAAGCAAAGCGAAGCACTTCTCCCAAAAACTAGACGGAGAATCCATAATAAACAAAGAAGTCTTTAATTAATATTGGTTATATATATAAATCTAGTCTGAAAGCAGAGCTGTGTTGTGGTTATGGTTGTCATTCCCTGCAATCCTGACAATCCTCTCTCTGTGTTTTCCCCTGAGAGCCCCCCACAACACATAGAGACAGAGATAGACCGCCTGACTGTTAATCAAGTCTGCAACAAATAACAAGAGCAAAAATAAACAGTTTCTTTATTCATCTGTCTGTCCCTCTCCTTTTATTCTCTCTCTCTCTGTCTGACATAAATGCCTCTTGTTGAAGTGTTTACGTGCCAGTGACCTGCAGAGCTGTTTATCCTGATCGAGGTGAAAGCAGTGGATGTGGAACGCTGCTTGTTTACACACGCAGCTCTGACAGACCATAACCTGTACGATCCAATCTCACCTGTGGCTGCTCACACACAAGCTCAAACCTACCACATACGCAAGTCTCGCACACAGAGACTGACCACACAATGAAGCTCAAGACGGACTGTTGTGACAGCGCACTTGTTACTTTGCAGCCAAAAGCATGTTTGACCTTTGTCAACGCTTCAAATATGTGGAAGAGGGGGATCTTACGAGGTGTGAGGGCTGCTGTAAGACGATGTAACACAGTGTGTACTGGGGATTAGGATTCAGACGGATCCAAACAGTGTGACTCATTCATTCTCTTTAAGGATTTTGCTGTGGAAGCTGACTTATTTATACGTGTTAAAGTGCCCTCTTTTATGCCCTCTATAGTACAGTGGCCCAGTGTGCAAGAAAATGTAATTAAGTGCCATATGGGCTGCAATGGAAAATTGGCCTCCAAGTGCCTCTTAATGGTCACATAATAAAATAAATAACTATTTTAATCTTAAAATCCCCATGGATCTTGTTCTCTACATCACTAGAATCTGAAGCAACAACGACTAAAAAGTCAGTATCTCCTTAAAGGTATTTTAGAGTTTGTAATTTCCTATGAAACAATAAAAAGTTGTTGACAACTCATCCTGCACTCCGGCGCTGATACTAATTTATAAAAAGCACTTTATAACTTAATCCGCTGATTTTGGTGGAACTGGATAATATTTTATGGAGAAAATATTTCCCTCCTCCGGTTGCTCAACTTCAACTCTCTGATTTAAAGAGTTTCCTGATGCACAGATAGCTTTTACTACTTGCTAAAGTAGCTAACCGCTAATTAACTGTTGCTAACTGTATCTGACATTAGCGGGCAACAGAACAGTTCAGTTACAGTATCAAGGTCTGTTTCCTGATGGGAAGATTGCTGAGTATCAAACTGATAAACGCCCTTTGTTTACTGACTCAACCCTGGGATGCTCTGTGGTAAGAACACATCCTCGGTACTGTATCCCTTTCAAACTGGGACTGTCTGTCTCCAAGACTGTCTGATTCGGCCCTCGGTCTGTCGGTCTTCCACTGACTGAAAGGTACACTATATTTGCTATAGGCTACTGTAAAGTCCCTCTCTAGCTGCCTGTTACAGGCTACAGGAAACACATGGATGTGGAAGCAAATAGCTCTCTGCTATCTGTTTCATGGGGCCTTTAACCACGGTTAGAAACAGTTTCATTATAAATGCGTCATGACTTTCTTTCACATGCAACTGGTGCCCTTTTTATTTTTTCACCCCTCAGACATCAGAGCCCACCACTGAAACTTGAAGTGTATGATCCAGAAGCTTGACTCATACTTGTGATTAAAAGTCAGGATATGTTGCTGCTTCAGTTTGAACCATGCTTTAAGTTTTAGTCAAGCTTCAATTAAAGTATTGTCACTATTAAATGTTTCTCATCCACTCTTATTAAACCCTGTTTATAGACAGAGACCAAGGTCCTTCAGCAGAAATCAGGCTGTGATAACCAAGTTCCTCAGATCTTGTACCATGATTACAGAAACCGTGTTTCTTGTTTACATGACAGTTAAGAAATCAGGTTACTGCAGAAAGCCGACAGTGACTAAAGTGCATGTGAATAAACACCGAATCACAGCGATCTCAAGGTAAAAAGGTCAAGCTCAAGGTCAGTTAGTCCGTTGTGATGCAGACAAAAAAAGTTAATTATGTGGTTAAATACAGGGAAGTGTGCCTGCAATATCTCCATCTCTCTTGGTCTAGATTGCAAAGATTATTACAAACTCTTTGCAATGGCCAATGGTATACACTCTAGTATTGCATATTTGTAGGAGAAACATCTGGCTACTGTACATCAAACTACAACTGATGAGAACAAAAGCCAACAATAACATGTCAGCCCTGCTCTAAACACAACTGTGTATTGTTTTTAAGTTTAACAGTTTTCCTCACAGAGAAAACAAATTCTGATAACATTACATTTATTTGGCTGACACTTTGGCCCAAAACAACTTTTTATGTTTTCCCATGCACACACATCACGAGGGAACCGGATGTTGTTGCACAAATTCTCACATGTGGGATTAAGGTCTGTTCTGATAGTATTCACTTGTCTGTGTGAGTTATGGTTTGAGTCCTCGGGAAGAAGAGTCTCGCAACTTTGGTACTTTTGGGTGATTCTTTTCCTTTTTTGTGGACAGCAGCCTGCCTGTACGGTTACTAGGAGCATCTGCTTTGTGTTTCCTTACTTTCAGATCCAAGTAGCACTTTCTACACTCTTTCATTGCATGGGGAGCAACACTGAACCAACTGAGCCATCTGGATGTAAGACACGTCCGAATAATGCCTACAAGAGTTAAACACTAGACAATAAAACCGTGATTTACTGCCATTCACTCACAGTTTCACCTCTGTTTACATTAAATCAATAGAGATAATCAAACATGCTCCACCTCATCTTTTCTCAGCAAAGTATGTGTGATAATGCACACACACACACACAC